CTGTTTCCCAGGCTGCAATCCCTTCTCTGGCTGTTTTTGTGCCTGCTCGTCTGACCATCTTAATAGCTGCAACATTGAATGTGTGCAGGGGTGGGATTCTCCCAGTTTGCCCCTATTCGCTAGAACCAGTTGTTAACATTCGAAGCAGTTCGGAGAACCGGTTGTTAGAAGAAACTTTTACTGGCCTAATCCTGTAAGGAAGGCAGGAAGGAAACATTCTGGTGTTGCTGACAGAAACTGCCTCTCCGTTAACTCTTATTACATTCTTGGCAGGACTAGACTTCCTGTCTCAGGAACTTCTCTGGAGATTTTTTCCCCTTCTTTGCTGGTACTTTGCTCATGTGGAATGACCATTCAAAGTTACAATGGCACTGAAAAAAGTGACTTATGACCCCTTTTCACACTTACAACTGTTGCAACATCCCCACAGTCATGAGAGGCCAGGCGAGGAGATGCGTGCCTCAATGTGAGTGATGTTGAGTTGGCCACACCCAGCCAATAACATGACCCCCAAGCCATGTCCACCCAGCCAATACCATAACCACCAAGCCACACCCACCACCTAAGCCAGCCCCACAGAACCGGTTGTTAAAAACTTTGAATCCCACCCCTGAATGTGTGTCCTTCTTCCTCACAATGTGGTGCGTGCAACCAGGCACCACATAAATAATACGCATAGAATAGTCCAAAACCTATGTTCTGGTGAGAGGGAGAAATTTCCTGAGGATGGGTTCCTGCATGAATCCAAAAACTCGGAAAACTAAACCTCTGGTCTTGGCGACTGATCCAGATTGGATCCTGCAACGTTATCCTGTGGACGCGGATATTTGCCTTCATTCATGAGACGGATTATTGAGTGTGCCCTCAAGTCATTGCTGATTCTGGATGACCACCTAGGTAGAACTTCTCCATGATGGTCTGTCCACAATCTGCTCTTCAGGACGTCCAACAGTTCTCCATCGTTGCTGTTATGGAGTCCCTGGACACAGGCTGTCCCCTTCTGTTTTTTCCTCTCACCATCCACAACCTTACAACCTTCTCCAGAGAGATGGAACGAGAAGGAGGCAACGTTGACTTGCTTTGCCCAACAGACTCCATTCTAGCGTTGTAGGTGGGGAGCTGGGTAAATCTATGGCAACCCCAAATCGAGAGTCGGGTAGTATCCTTTCCAACGAACCCGTTTTCACAAAGCTTCCTTGAGCTTTTAACACAATTTATTAGTTGAAAAATGTACTAGTAGACTTCGGATTGCGGGCTGTCCTTCCAGTGGGTTATTCCAGAGATTATTCCTAGGCCCTGTCTATGGTTCCTGTTAGGACTGTACACTCTGGGTTGCTTCGAATGTGTCTCAAGGTTGGGTTACACCTTTGATCCTCTTGGCCCATCAAACCTGAGGAGGAAGGTTTTGGAATATTAAGAAGCTTTGTCATTCTCAGTGACTAACTAGAGATTTCCAGGAGGACTTCAAAGGCTTACCGTTAGACAACTAACAATATTCAGAGATTTACTGAATATGCATGAACTTTTCTTTGCTGTCCCGGCTGCTAATAACTGACGGTGATTAATATCCCTTATGAATGCGGCCTATTGCCTTTTCAATTCTCAGCCAGGAGCTGCAATCGGTCTAGTCTACAGCAAGGAATTCCAGTCGCTAATTCCAGAGGTGCTTTCTGAGTTATGCCATCAACTAAAAGCGTGGGCATTAGTTCACCTGGGCTCCCAAGGTTAGGGAGAAGGAGAAATCTCTCTCTCTCTCTCTCTCTCTCTCTCTCTCTCTCTCTTCCTTGGAGTTTTTCCAAACTGATGCCATCCTAGGGTTTTTTTTTTTCACCCTAGTCAACTTTGTCATATTTTTATGAATAAAGACCAAATGACAGTGGGAAGGAAGGTAGGAAGGAAGGAAGGAAAGAAAGAGCATCAGGGAGAGAAAGAGGGAGGGAGGAAAAGAAGGATGGAGGGAGAGAAGGAAGAAGGGAGGGAGGGAAGGAAGGAAGGAGGGACAGAAAGAGGAAGGGAGGCAGGGAAAGAAGGAAGGAAGGAAGGAAGGAAGGAAGGAAGGAAGGAAGGAAGGAAGGGGAGAGAGTG